AAAATAGTGCTGCACATTTATTTTTATTTTGTAATTTAATACTCGAAGAAAACACGATTGAATTTTATGCTCTCTGACTCTGTCCCATAGATATGAGGTGGCATATGGTGATAACTACCCGTTTTCAGTAACAGCGTTAAGAAACTAGATTTGTATTCTAAGGTACTAGATTCTTTTATATGAACCTAAAAATTACGAACTACCAATACGATACAGGACGGAAGAGGGTGTCATTTAACACTTAATTCTGCAAAAATATTAAAAACAAATGTGTTCGAGGTGAGGTCGTGACTGTAAGGCGTGCTTCCACATACATGTTTGCAAATGAGCTCTCTTAACATTTTCTACAAACGCTTCAGTAGTTTGAGGTAGTGAGGCAAGGTTCGGAGTATTTGTAGCTCCTAGTCTTCGGACCCTTGATAGCCACACGTTGATACGAGCCTCTGACATTGAGCTGGTTGTTGATTGTCCATAACATGAAGCAAAGCATTGAGTAGGTTGAGTGATGACATATGACCATGCTGCATCAATATTGCCAACTGAGTCCTAAGGGAGTCGAATCTTCTGCTTCATCACTTTCAGCATTGTACCCTATCCAATGCCAAAGTATGCCCCAAGAGTGTCGCATCCCGTCAATGCATGTCCTGCCAACATCGATTGAATGATATCTCCTAACTTGTCTACAGTGGCAGGAACATCAGTAACAGTTCGATCTGTGATGGGTATCTCCATGGTCATTGGCGTTTTATAAGTCTGTCATGTAGATAATGATGCAAAAGTAGTACGTAGACGTCTGTGTCATCCACTAGGACCCTAACATACCTCTTCTCATTAGCAGCAATTCGAATCGCTTGCTGTACTATGATGTTGCCTGCTTCTTGATAATTATGTTGTGGACAGACCCTTTCCTTGGCATGACATCACTGCCTGTAATCACTTCAACAGGAACCTCATCTTGACGGTTATGACCAGCTTGTGATTTTGCCTATTTCTGAACACCCAATCATCCTGCAGACTCGCGCATATATGATGTCGATCAACTGTAGTTTGTTGTCATGAAAAGATAGTGAAGTTAGCAACACTAGAGACATGTTTAAACACATCAAGTCACTGACCAATACACCTAGACCCAAACCTATATGTCTTGAAGGATGAAAATGGGAACATTTTAACAGAGGATGAAGATATAAAGGCAAGGTGGAAGAAGTAATATTGTGTAAAACCGTATACTGCAAATGAAACTGAAGAACTTGATACTCATGAAGGAGTAAGCGTCGAGGACGAGCCCATGCTTGAACCTGACATCTTACAAAATGAGGCGAAGGAAGAAAGAAATCATCTGAGACCTGGGAAAGCACCTATTATTGAAAATTCCCTGCGAAGCTTTTCAACGAGAGTGGAGAGGAGGGCGTAAAGGTCATGCATAAGCTGTGTAACAAAATATGGAGACAGAGAATATGGCCACAAGACTGGAATAGAGCTGTTTTTCTCCCACTCCCAAAGAAAGGTGTTAAAAATGAATGTGCCAACACCCGCACTATTTCTATTACTCCGCATGCCAGTAAGATTCTTCTTCACTGAATTGCTGAAAGAATTAGAAACAAACAGGCTTCAGAAAAGAAAGAGGGACAAGAAACCAAATTGGCAATCTCAAAAATTCGATGGGGAAAAGCAGAGAATTTCAACAACTTCTCTCCCTAGCTTTATTGATCATTCCAAAGCTTTTGACTGCGTACAACATAAACGCCTATGGAAGATTATGAGCTAGATGGGCTTTCCAGCACATATTCAACTCATCCAGTCGCTCTACCAAGACCAAGAAGCAACAGTAAGAACAGAGAATGGCTACACCGAAAGGTTCACTATTGGTCAAGTTGTCCGTCAAGGCTGCATCATATCACCATAACTTTTCAACATCTATGCTGAATTCATCATGAGGCTTTTTATGGTCAAGTTTCTGTTGGTGGACGAACGGTCATCAACCTAAGATACGCCGACAATACAACACTCCCTGGGTAGTGATGGGGGAGGGAGGGGGGCTCAGGGACAGTTGACCCCCCAAATAAAATTCAAACTGTTTTTTTCTTCATATTCGATACCAGTGATTTACAAATGTTGCTGAAATGACATGATTTTCCTGGGTTTTTTTCTCACTTTTTAGTAAATTATAATTTGTTAAGCATATGTTGGCAAATGAAAAATACCTAAATTCACAGTCAAGCAAAAAAAATATGCTTATTTAAAAGCCTACATGTCAGGGTCCACGGAACGGCGGGGCTCAGGGGACTCGAGCCCCCCTCACTTTTTGTATAAAGTATATTAAAGAGAACTAGAAAGAAAGAAAGAAAGTGACCCTAGGTGAAATGAGGTATCAAAATATGCTCATCTGACAGTTATTAAATGCCTAAAACCCCTGAGCTTCCGGGTGCTGTGCCCCTTGAACCCCACCTAGGGCCCTAAGGCAGGCCCCTGCATGGATGCTCATCTGACATTAGCAGCTTACAACCCCACAGCTTCCGGGGGCCCTGGACCCCACGCCAATTTGCGCTCCTCTCTTCTTGATCGTAAATACTTTAGCCCCCCCCCCCCTGGAACAGAGCATGGTGGTTGATGGAGAACAAGTTGATCAAGTGGACAAGTTTATATAATGTTCTTGGGTCAATGATTGTCAAGGAGGGTGGAAGCTCGGTAGATATCAAGAGACAACTGACCATGGCTAAAACATCGGCCTCAACACTGTCAAATATCTGGAAGGGCAGGAACCTCACCTTGGCCACTAAGATCCGTGTAATGAAGGCATTGTTTTTCCAAGTAGGAACTCTCTATGGCTGCGAGACATGGGCATTAGGAAAGGCAGACAGGGGAGCAATATCTGCCTTTGAAAGGTGGTGTTGGAGGAAGCTACTCGGGATATCATGAAGAGATTACATCACCAATGGACACAATTAATGTCCATCATCGGAGATCAACCGCCACTTGCTACCAGGATTGACAAGTACAAGCTACAATTGTTTGGTCACGTTAGCAGAAGATCAGGAGACAACCTTGACAAGTTATCATTCAAGGTACCTTTGAAGGAACACGTAACGACGGAAGACTCAAGCTCAGATGGAGTGACGACCCTCTAAATACTAAATACACTCTACCGGATTGCAGGAGACAGATGCCGATCGAAAGGTCTCATCAAACGGGTCACAAGAATGAGCCATGATCTATATGACAACGACGACGACGACGAACAGTGAGACATAGTTTCTTGGAGGGCAGCAGTGACGCGGGACTCAGTTGGAAGACTCTCGACCCGTTATGACCTCTAGATACTCTTGGATCTGTCAAACACTAAGCAAACATCATCAGATTTTCATCCACAGTATAGCACAACCATCAATGACTGTACAAGGTTGTTCCAGTGTCTCATGCCTGGCTGACATCTCAACTTTTGTCAAATTCTATAAGTCCGCCTTTGACATGGGAGTGCTCGTTTCCAGAATCATCAAAGAGTGCTGTTGGGACTGGTGAAAGCTCTTATGACAAAATGTCCTTGACATTGACCTCTCTTGAACTTGCCTGCAGTCCTACTACTCTGGAGTAGATCAACTTTTCATAGACTTTCGTACCCCAACATTTATTGACTTCTTCATGGCTGCCATGGTTTGAACTTTCTTGGAAATTGTGTCATAGAATCCACCAGATACTTTCTTTTGAAACTCATGCATCTGTCTAGTACAGATGTCAACTGCTTTATCCACATTCACTGACATTGGAGCAATGCTGGTCTAAATAAAGCCTATCAATGGAATAATAATGTGTGCCGTAAACCACTTCTCACCGATTTGATGAAAAATGAATTCTTTCATAGCCATTTTTTGTTTCTTGACATATGTAGGGCAGATGTAGGGAATTGGAGACCGTAGGGAATTGGAGCCCACCAAGCTTGAACACATCACTGTCTGTCCGTATTGGCTCCAATATTGCTATAGCGCCATATGTGGCCTTTAACAACACTACTGCATTCATCCTATTCATTTCGAAGACTACAATGCGTTCTCTCTCCGAGAAAATTTGCAAAATTGACAATCTTCACTGAATGTTGTGTGATATGCATATATTTAGGGGTGGCTCTTAAAAATTAGTTTTAAAAGGAAGTTTATGAGGTGTGCCAACCATCACAGAAAACTTATGGCCATTGTGTGTTGTGAATGGGTGTTGCAGCGCACATTATGAATGGTGTCTGATCAGAAATGTGTGTAGGCAATGGGGGACACCAGGTCCACGATGGGGGCCTACTTTCCCCCAGTTGTCCATTTCATGTTGAAAGGCACTATCATGAAATATATCTGGTTGTTCGTGTCACAATTCTAATTTGAATGCATTTCATTTTAAGAAGTTTTTTCTATGCTGTGAGTTTGATCAATGTCAAAGTCACATTGCCAGAACATTATTCTGAAAGTATTTAAACATAATTTAAAGCACCTTTGTTACTGTAAACAAAAAACTACAGAAATATTTTGGGCCAAACAAGATGAAAGATGAATGCAGCACAACTGCAATTGTTGCCCCCAAAAAGCATTTGATATGATTTCAACGTGACATAGATTTAAGAAATCGGCATTTGGCTGGCACACATATTTTATTCAAATTAATATGTTTATAGAGGGCGCTATTTCAAAATATGCAAATAAGCTGCTCATCTATGGCCATACAACATCACAAAACATTTTTTTGGTGATGTCCTGGAGAGATACAAACATTTGGCTGCCCAAAATTGTAGAAAAAAATCCTTATTATATATTTATTATTCATTTTTAAAGGAAAATCATGTACTTTGGCGGCCATTTTGTATGACGTCATATATCTAAAATTGCTCAAGGCTGACAGAGTGTCAGCAATCGGATTCTTGAAATAGAAGGTCTAGGCAATCAAAATCCATTGAAAAAAAAACTATAGACCCTAAAACAAGGTTAGGCCAATAATCTGGATTTGGCTGCCGGACTGCGTGTTACAAGCCTGGCAGCAGAGTTTTGGATTCTCTGGAGTCTTGCAATGTGCGAGTCCGGAAGGCCATAAAGAAGGCTATTGCATTGATCAAGACGGCATGTAATATACACACCACGCAGAGCCGTGTCATCATTTTAACGTCCCGTTGAAATATATATATATGGATAAGTTATGCTTCCGACATCTGTAGCGGAATGACATGGTTAGCAATGCATTTATTTCTCGGATTTCTCTCAACGTTGCTGGCAATATGTCTCAGCAAAGCAACAGAACAGTTTTCAGGTGAGGAAAGAGAGATTATTTTTCTATGTCGTCTCATATTGCATATTGTCCGCTCGTACTTTTAGGCTTATAAGCGCTATAATAATGATGCAAAGTTACATTACTAAAATGATAAATATTCTTTCTTGGTTGCTCCGCTCCGTCGCAGAATATCATTTAACTTTGAAATAAAGAAGATTATGTACATTCAAGATTATTAAGCTCAGACTTAGATTTGATTTGATTTGATTTGTTTATTTATGATAGATTTTCTTTTTCTTTAGCACTTTTACAAATATATAACAAACAAACATTGCAAATTTTACACATGACTAAAGAATATAACAAACTAAGGCTGGCTGTGACTAATCGAAAACATCAAGCAGGAGGGTTGACAAAGTAAGCAAAGCTTGTAGCATGACTACCCTCAATGGATACATAATAATTCAAAAACATGGAGGAAACAGTATTGGTAAAAGGGAAAAAAGAGAGAGTGAAAAAAGAAGGGGAAAAAAAGAAAGAAAGAGGGGTGTATACATCGATATTCACAGATGTATGTGGTAGTTGGATTTCAATTTGAAAGGGGTACTTAGATAAGGGGAGGGGCTCATATAAAACAGAAAAGGGGCACTTTTGAAGATATTTTTGGATTTAAGCAAATTGCTACACGCTTAAATAATAATTTTATTGACATGGCAGCAAATCGTAAACAAAAGTTTACCTTTGGTGATGATTTAGAGCAATATCTGACCAAAGTACCAACCACTTTCAGTTTTAAACCGATTACCTGTCAAGATGTTAAGAAACATATGAATAAAATTGCAAGAAATAAGGCTACTGGCCTGGATCAAATTCCAGCAGGTGTAATTAATGATGCTATAGACTACATTATTGTGCCATTGACGCATATTGTCAATATTTCTCTGTGTACTGGTAAGATCCCTGTTGCGTGGACAACCATTATGCCCCCCCCCCCCTCCACGATTTTTCCGACTGCTCTGGAACGCATATGGATGGCGCCCCGCCGCTCATTAAATTTTTTCTTTAGAGTCTTGCGTATCTTTAATTTTTTTTTTTTTTGAAAATCGGACCTACAGTTACAAAATCACGTGCATGTCAGCCCGAAAATCGCTCATTTTTGTGATTTTTGTACAAAAATATGGAAATGTTATTTTTCCTAAAAATTGGTTATTGGGTCTTGTTTAAAGTTAAGGTGGTTGTTTTGGAAGTCAAAATAGTTGAATTGTAGTAAGAAATGAAATAAATAAAACAACAAAAACAATAAAATACATAAGTGAGAAAAAAACAATGAAATACATAAGAAATTATACTATTCTATACACTTCACTTGACATGCGTGCAAATTTTTCGCGGAGATCGACCGCTTCACGGCCGAGATCTTAAGGGGGTCATAATGCCCCCCCCCCCCCGGCCGTACTAAGACCTCATAGCCCGGACTTTTTAGGCTTACTCAACGTCTAGACATACAGGTCGAAGTGTTGCATGGGATCTTAATCCTCTTTTGTCTACATACATCAATGCCCCCCTTTTAAGCACGATATGTGATGTCAGTGCTGAGTGTACGTTCTTTAAATCCCATTTTCTGGTGATTTCCTGGAATTCATTGTGGCATAACCATCTTATTTTGTTATGTGACATGTGAAGCTACTGCAGGATAGTATTTCATGGATTATCTGTGAAGGATAACATGGATTATATGTTGGATGCTCTCTTACATGGAATGGGCTCAGGTAGAGGGGTGAAGTGTGACGTCATCAACAAATCTATTTTTAGAATTTCTCAATTTTTTTGTGCTCATCCGACGATAATTTGATGTATAAAACCCCTGAGCTTCTGAGGGCTTCGCCCAATGGATTTTTTTTTTCTTTTTCCGAAAGAACATCAAAAATAATGTCTAAATGTCGAAAACCAAGTGAATATCTTAGGTATTGGCTGAGATATGACCATCTGAATGAATATATTTCCTATAGGAACTCAGTGTTATATGCTCTGGCTCCTAATGGCTATACTATACTGGGGATTTGTTCTCCCCCATGCATTATATTGTTCAACCATCTGGTCATCTTCATCCGAATCAAACTACAAAATATTAAACACGCTACGCAAGCGCGCAGCATATATTGTGAGTGGATATACTTGGGAAACCTCATAGGAAACAGTTTTTCGAATACTAGCCTGGCCTACTCTAAAAGAACTGTTTAACAAGTCAATAGTATGCATGGTGTATACATGTGTAAGTGGGATAGCACCATCCCAAGTTGATCAATATTAAATATATACTTATTTCTTCTAATTAAGCCAAGTTTTTGTTTCATGACTTTTGCAATAGAAGTAACATGAGATTTGAATGTCAGAGTATCATCAATCGACACCCCCAGACACTTATATTCAGATATTCTAATAAGGTACCATTAATTATAACAGATATTTTTATCCTGCAAGATATTCAATCGTTGTCGAGAACCAAGAAGCATCACATTCGTTTTTTTATCATTTAGTACCAATCTATTCTTAGATGTCCACTTGTAAACTTCATTCATTGTAGCATTAGTTAACTTTCAACCGATTCTAGATTACTACCACTAACATACAGAGTTGCGTCGTCAGCAAACATGACAACTTTTCCTGACTTTATACTGAAAACCAAATCGTTAATATATATTGTAAACAACAGGGGCCCTAAACAGGTGCTATTACCATAGAGATTATGATATCTGGCGTCTCCAGAGGATCATCGTATTGGAAGTTTAACAACTCCTTGTTAAAGAATGAGGAATATAAAATTGGTGTTAGAAATGTTATCCGGAACGTGACATTTGAACATAGGACAGAGTCTGACACTAGTTCGCAGTTTGTGTGGGACATGTGTAAATTACAGATTCGTGATTATACTATTATGTTTGCAAAAAAAATGAAATTAAACGAAAGGAAAGTCTTATTTGAGTTAGAAAAGACATTTGAAAGATTGCACGATCAAGTATGCAACGGAAGAAAAGAACGAGACGAAGAGTTGACTAGTGTAAAAATGAAGTTAAATGCGTATCACAAATATTTATGTGATGGTGCTAGAGTTAGAGCAAGGGTAACTATGTTTGAAGAAGGGGAAAGTAATTCCAAATATTATATTTTTTAGGCTTAGAAACAAGAAACGGTGCAAAACGATCAATCTCTTGTTTAAGGATTGGGGGAAAGTTGGAGTACGACAAGGACAAAATCTTAAAGTTTATTGAGAATTTTTTTTCTTCAAGATTCTATAGGTCAAATGGTGTAATGAAGAATTAATAGATTCATACATGACAGAAGTAGAAATACCACGTCTAAATAGACGCGAAGCAGATGCATGCGAAGGGCTCGTTACAATAAAAGAGATTACTGAAGCGATAATAAAGCACCAGGGTTCGACGATTTAAGCGTAGAATTTTATAAAGAATTTTTGTCAGAAGTAAACGATCTGGAGCGGGTTCCTAGAAACCGTCATAAGTCTAACTATCCCATTGAAACGTGTGTTATAGAATTAACACGCGTTTCAATGGGATAGTCAAGAAGTTAGACTTATGACGGTTTCTAGGAACCCGCCCCTGGTTCTTCATAGTTTGAACGAGTCTTTTGAGAAAGGACATTTATTCACAAAGGAAAGGCGTTATTACTTTATTGTTTAAAGGTGGAGATAAACAGGAACTTGAAAATTGGAGACCAATAACTCTTTTAAATATAGACTACAAGATATTAGCGATGGTTTTGACCAAAAGATTACAAAATGTGTTAGCAGATATTATTAATGAAGATCAAGTAGGCTATTTAAAGGGTAGAAGCGGTATTTTTAATGCTAGACTAGTTCATTACGTGGTTGACTACCATCATTTAACGGCTAAAGATGGGGCAATTATTTTCACAGATTTTAGAAAAGCTTTCGACTCGTTGAAATGGATATACATTGACAAGTGTTTGCAGTTATATGGTTTTAGGCAATCCTTACGTCAATGGATTGGATTGTTATATTCAAATCCAAGCTTATCAGTTATAGTAAATGGATGGTTTCATGGGTGTCGATCTGTAATTGATACCTATTCTTCAGGGGGGGGGGGTGATCTATTCATTCATACCCCCTGATGAATAGGTATTACGTAAGGATCGACACCCATGGATGGTTTATTAAATATTAAACCATCTAGAGGCATAAGGCAAGGTTGTCCCCTGTCTGCCCTACTTTTTATCCTGAGTGTCGAAGTTTTAAGCACCAAAATAAGACAGAATGTAAATATTAAAGGTATTACTATTGGAAGACAAAAAAACAGAAATTAAATGTAGCTCAACTGGCTGATGATATGACAATTTTTGTACAAGACGTTAAATCTGGAAGGAAGGTAATAAATGTGATTGAACATTTTGAAAGGGTATCAGGAATACATTTAAATACGAATAAAACTAAAGCTATATGGTTGGGCAAAAAAATATAAGTTGGTGTGATACTTTTGTTAAATCTCTGGGTATATACTTCAGTAAGAATAAATCTTTGAGTGTGAATATGAATTGGTATCAAGAGAGATTCATTAAAATACAACAGCTTTTAAATTCTTGGAAACGGAGGAACTTGACATTTAAAGGGAAAGTAATTATCTTAAAAAGCCTTGCTATTTCAAAATTGATTTATACAGCTCAAGTTTTATCATGCCCTATGGAATGGATAAAAGCGTATGAAAAATTATTTTATAATTTTTTATGGGGTAATAGAGCAAAAGTGAAAAAGGAAAACATGATAAATACTCTTCAAAATGGAGGCATGAATATGGTTGACATGTGTACGCAATTTATGTCTTTACGAATAAAATGGTTGTTATGCTTCTTAATTTTTAAAGAACTCCAAGAAAAGAAAGGGAAGTGGATAATTATTTTTGACTATTGGATTGGAAAACTGGGAGGGATTGATATTATTATGAACTGTAAATGTTTACCAAAATATGGGACTTCTTATAGATGGAAAATTCCTGATTGTTATTGTG